CATTCAGACTGAGTGGAAGTCGGCAGGAATAGAAAGATTTGGAATTATTGTCATCTAGATGAAACTGTTCTTTTCAGTGGGTGTGCATGTCAGCCTATATGTCATGATTCCATTTCATTTTGTCAACTCGGTTAGCTAAGAAAAACATTGGAAACAAACCCCCGAGCTACTGCCGTCGTCAATCGTCAAAGGTTGTTTATTTAGTCCACAGGAAGTTGCGAATTTACCATTGTAAGAGCTTACGTACGATCTTATATTAATGTTGGACAAATTGGTAGGAAAGGAAATTACAACTAAAGTATGACTTGACTTGATCACCTTATCCAATGGGGGACTTTTATTCACAATATAGATGTAGCTTATTAGTTGTTTCCCAATTGTGTAAATAGGATGGATAGATAGATTAGTATGGGTTAAGTCATGCTTTATTATCCACTTAAGAATATGACTCCTGATCGTATTGGAATTCACAATCTATTTAGAACATGATTTCTAACTCTAGTAAAGTTTGGAGTCCTAGGTACAACAACTATATATGATTACTAACTTAACTAGGAAACCTAATATAATGTTAGACCAACTGGATAATCGAGAAGGGATTTGAGCTTAGATCTAAAATATCCAACTAGGAATCCCGATACCAACAATATCACTAGTGTTTTTAGTCCTTACTCGAGAAACATATTCAACTAAGGAACGTTTTGTGCTTCTTTGAACATTGTGGCTCGGGTGCAACTAGTATGACTCTTATCACGTTTGCAAAGAGTTTTCACTTATTGAGGACGAAAAATAATATGTATAGTCTTGTTATCTTGGGTGCATGGTACCTAGCTAGCTATTGGGTCACCATGGCCGTGACACTAGCAAACACCACGAGCAGGAAATTGATTGCTACTTATTATATTTTTTGTATAGCTAGAGAAAAGGATGATGATATTATACAATTGTACACACATTGTTATATATGATGTCTATATTCTGTGTACAGAAGTGGAAAGAGGATACTACCGGATTTGGGCCCTTTGGCCGGGAGCAGATCAGGTGAGTAACTTTGTGGTGAGTAACCATGAGTAACCCGTCCACATCAGCATCCTCTCTCTCATGGAAAGCCTTTAATTTTTCCCTCTTTAATCTTTGACGAACGATTTCTCGCTCATTTTAAGTCGAAATTTAATTTTTTTTGCACAGTTAGATCAGATTAATTGTGCTCTTCAAAATGATATCCACTTTAATATATTTTTCAAACAAAAAAATTGAGCCATTTTTTTCCAGCCTATACCATATGGTATTGACTGGTATTGAAATAAAAGCATACCTATGTTTTGAAAAACGTACCATGGTGGTATGAACAAACCAATACTGTAGGATGGTTGAATACATGATAGTAGAAGTATATTAATTGTAATTTACGACTTTTAACATTGTATACCACACAATACCACCCCGTACCAGGGTGGTATTGTATGGTATTGTGTGGTATTTTTTGGTCTTGTAATTTGTTCACCCATAAATTTGTAGATCCAATAGATCATGATGAACTCGTCTCTTCTGTGCAAACGTTTTCAAAAATGAATTAAAAACGAAGAAGATACCATACAATACCACCCCGTACCAGTGTGGTATTGTATGGTATTGTGTGGTATTTTTTGGTCCTGTAATTTGTTCACCCAGAAATTTGTAGATCTAATAGATCATGATGAACTCGTCCCTTCTGTGCAAACATTTTCAAAAACGAATTAAAAATGAAGAAAATACCATATGGTATGCAGTTGGTATCGAGATGCCAGAATTTTTTTTTCTCAAAAAATATTTAAAATTGATCTCATTTTGTAGAGCACGATGAACTCGTTCCACCTGTGCAAAAAAATTTAAAATCCGAGTTAAAACGAAAAAGATATGAGCCGATTAAGAAAGCTAGAAAAAATAAAAATGTCTTTAATTCTCCATCCTTAGATCTGGATTTTCTAAATGAAGAGTTCAGATTTGGTTATTGATGGGTGCATAACCCATGGTTATGCACCCTATCTTGAGCCCCTTTGGCCTTCCATGATTGGAAGTTGGTTTCAATTGTTTTTATTACCACCTTTGTCTGTGATTTCAGGTATATACCTACCTTACGTGGCAGAGGAGCTCAACTACCTAACGGATCAAAACACCGCCGTGGACAGCAATGTCGTGACACATCATCTTACCGAACTTAAATCTCGCTTTCTATTGGCTCCCATGGGGAACCTCTTCTAATTGTTTATACTTTTATGTGTTGTCATCAAGACTGTAGAATGATCGGGAAACATCACGAAGAAGCGCGTCCATGCCATCTCCGACGACGGCAGTCGGTGGTGTATCTCAGCCAACCAGATAGCAAAGTTTCACGACAAAAGAGAGTACGTGGTCATAGCCACTTATATAATACTTGACTTAATGTAACATATTTGTAGTTAGTGACGGTGGTTATTTTCAATAGGTAGAATTAGTGGTATGATTATCGTCAAAGACAACAATTCTTTCATCCTCATTCTCAATATTTTCTACACGTTATGGTCTTTGGACACTATAAAAAAACATTTTATCTAGAAAAGTACTCTTCAAAATTATGTGGGTTGATATGTATTATGAGTGTGGCATTTAATGTGATGCACGTATAGTCATGCAGGTGATCGAGTTCAATCCGAGATATGTCTTAGATATGAGATTAGGCGAACCACCACTCTCGTCAATAGTAATTCTCTTGAGTCTCCTGTAATTTTATTAGGTTATTCACAATAATTAGAAGAATAGCAAGCCAGCTTAGTAAAATTTAGTGTTTTTTTGCATTACCATCTTAGTAAAATTTAGGGTTGAGACAATATACATGTAAATTTAGAAGACGTGTGGGCCAAGTGACATGGACCCTAAGTTGTATCCATGTATGGTGCGGAAAGGAAGAAGGGCACGTGGAGGGCCGGCAAGATTGCCCTCGTAAGAGGCTACAACGCGGGGTTAGGGCTTATTGTGCACTATTATGATAAATACGAGTTTGGCTTTGTGTTTTCTTTAACTTTTTTGTGGGGTCCTTTTCTATTTGACGGATTCAAAAGCAAAATTTCAAGCCAAATCGACTTCCTCCATATCTATCTATTTGCATGTTTTTATTATTCCATGCTATTTGAAAGATTTGAATCGAAAATCTCTAAATTTAAAAATCAATGATACAAAATTGTTGGGACGTAAGCTCTTTTTTTTTCATCTCGAAAAATATTGGGATTATTGCTTGATATGAAGGTTTTTATCCACGTGGCTCTGTTCTTTCACCCAAATAAAAGGGTACTCTTGGTTTGATATAAATGGAATGATTGAATACCGAAAGGTAAGGAATAGAAAGTGGAAATTACGGGACAAAGATGAGCCAATAGAGAATTAGACAAAAAGAAATGACCCAATGGAAGAAGGGGCGGGTAGAAGAATGGATTGTTGTGCCAATACAAACAAGAAAAAAGAGTACCAAAAGTAGTAAACTTTAAAACTTAAAAGGCTAAAAGGGATAATCACACAAATAGAAGGGCTAGAAGGGGTAGTCGTCGTGGCAAATAATCAGGTAGCTAACGGCCCATCATTGCCCTCCAAGAAGGCCCACTCTCCCTCACAACACACATCGCGCTTTTCTTTGATCTTTCTACCCCATTTCCCATACTCGTGGAATTAGACATGGCAAATTACAATTCGACTCGTTGACCCGACTCGAAATCGCCCGAAAACTAAAAAAATTTGTAACCCAAAATCTAAATGACCCAAATCCGATAACCCATAATTTTTTGGGTCAGGTTGGGTGGGTTAGCGGGTCGACCCGTTAGACCCGTTCTATTTCATATATCACTCACGAAATATGATAAAATCACTCATAAATTGGTGGGATGTTTAAAAAAATCACAAGGATTTGAATGACATGTTTGGAGTTTAAGGATAATCAAATATCATGTGTTTCTTGTAGTAGTATTACTCTTGTGATTGTTTTTTGAAGATTTGCGCAGTTTGTATTTCATTTTATTAGCGTTGGAGGATTTGAGAATATGTTAATTGACATGTGTTAGGTAAACTATTGTCATGCATATGTGAAAATTTGTGTTCTTTAAGAAAATATGAAGCATGTTTGATATTGTTTCTGAAAACGCTCGTAACACGAAATGACCTGTAACCCGACCCGAAACCGAATGGGTTGGGTCAATATTTGACCTGAAATCAGCCAACCAAACATGACCCGACCCGTAACCGAAGTCCCCGACCCAAAATTACCCAACCCGACCCGATTGCCATGTCTACGTGGAATCGTGAAAAGAAGTAGTTTAATAATTTAAATTGTTGAAAAAAGTTTTAAATTGTAATTAAATTCGATTCCTTCACAATTCATAAATAACACAAAAGAAAATACATGATCCAACAATAATTCGAGCACAATACAACGAGTATCACCGCTTTCGTAATACTGATAAAGTCATGATCCTCTGTAACAATCACAACCTATATATACATATACGAATTGAGGATTTTCCATGAATTTCATCATTATTCACATAATCGAGATAACCTTGAATCGTATATACAAGAGTATATGGTTAAAGAAAAGATGAGTTTTAACAAAAATAAGTACAAACTATTTGCTTTCTTCGTGTAGTACCCCTTTTGACTATTTTATATTATGGAGCTTGACAACAACAATAATAATAGGGTAAAGAAAGAAAATAAGGAAGGACCACATTTCCCTATTAGCCCCTTTGGTCTTCTCCTACTAATACCCCAACACGTGGACGTGGTCTCCCTCTTTCTCCCTTATAACAAATAACAATATGACTCCCCCATTGGCCCATCCTCTCTCTATATATATACACAACCTCCTCCATCCCCATTTCTCATCACCACCTCCACCATCAAAACCCATCCTTCAAAAAAAAAAAAAAACCCACACTCCTCTACTCCATCTTCACTCTCACACACACTCAAAAACCCACTTCACAAAACAATCCACCATGATAGCCTCTTCTTCTTCTTCTTCTTCAATCTCCCTAAAGAACCCCCATAGAATCACAAATCCGAAAACCCAATCCTCCCTTCAAACTCCTTCCATCCTACAATTCCCCAAACACTCCCCTCCCACAAATTTCCCACCTCCAATTAGAAGGAGAGATGGCCAAGACAACAAGCCTCAACAAGTAGTAGTCAAGGAGGAGGTTCAAAATAGCAAAGGATGGAACTTTCTACAACGAGCCGCCTCGAAGGCGCTGGACGTGGTCGAGTCGGCTTTGGTCGCTCAGGAGCGTCGCCACCCGCTTCCCAAAACCGCCGACCCACGTGTCCAGATCGAAGGAAACTACGCACCGGTGCCGGAGCAGCCGATCGTTCATGATCTGCCCGTGGTTGAGGGGGAGATTCCGGATTGTATTCGGGGGGTTTATGTAAGGAACGGGGCGAACCCGCTCCACGACCCGGTTGCCGGGCACCACTTGTTTGATGGGGATGGGATGGTCCATGCGGTCCGGTTCGGGGACGGTTCGGCCGACTACTGCTGCCGGTTCACGGAGACGAGCAGACTGGTTCAGGAGAGACAATTGGGTCGCCCGGTTTTCCCCAAAGCCATCGGCGAGCTCCACGGCCACTCCGGGATTGCGCGGCTGCTGCTGTTCTGCGCCCGCGGTCTCTTCGGCATTGTTGACCCTTCTCACGGGACCGGCGTGGCGAACGCCGGGTTGGTCTATTTTGGCGGAAGATTGCTCGCGATGTCGGAGGATGATTTGCCGTACGAGGTCAGGGTCCTCCCCACCGGCGACCTGGAAACCGTCGGCCGGTTCGATTTCGACGGGCAGTTGGCCAGCACGATGATCGCCCACCCGAAGATCGACCCGGTCACCGGGGACATGTTCGCGCTGAGCTACGATGTCGTGAAGAAGCCGTACCTCAAGTACTTCCGATTCTCGGCGGCGGAGGGGGGGAAAAATCCCCAAATTGAAAAATCCCCTGATGTTGAAATTGAGCTGGAACAGCCGACGATGATGCACGATTTCGCCATAACGGAGAACTTCGTGGTGATCCCCGACCAGCAGGTGGTTTTCAGGCTGCAGGAGATGATCCGCGGCGGGTCGCCGGTGATGTACGACAAGGAGAAAGTGTCCCGATTCGGGATTCTGGACAAGAATGCCGCCGACGGGAAATCGATTCGATGGATCGAAGCTCCCGATTGCTTCTGCTTCCACCTATGGAACGCGTGGGAGGAGCCGGAGACCGACGAGGTCGTCGTGATCGGCTCCTGCATGACCCCGCCGGACTCCATTTTCAACGAGAGCGACGAGCAATTGACCAGCGTCCTCTCTGAAATCCGCCTCAATTTGACCACCGGGAAATCCACCCGCCGCCCGATCATCTCCGAGCAGGTGAATTTGGAGGCAGGGATGGTGAATCGGAACTTGCTGGGGAGGAAGACCCAATTCGCTTACTTGGCTCTCGCCGAGCCGTGGCCGAAAGTTTCCGGCTTTGCCAAAGTCGACCTCTCCACCGGGGAGGTTCAGAAGCATATCTACGGCGAGGGGAAGTACGGCGGCGAGCCTCTGTTTCTTCCCAGGGAGGACAACCCCAAGTCTGAGGACGACGGCTACATACTAGCCTTCGTCCACGACGAGAAGGCGTGGAAATCCGAGCTGCAGATCGTCAACGCCGTGAATTTGAAGGTGGAAGCCGTTGTCCAGCTCCCTTCTCGGGTTCCATACGGCTTCCACGGCACTTTCATAAGCGCCAGCGATTTGGCAAACCAGGTTACCGCCGTCTGAATTTACTGACTCGCGGTAACAGCGTGGTAAATGTTCCTATTTACGACAAGACAAGAGGAGATTTACCAGTGGGATGTGTACTATCGTCCCCGGAAATCTCCTCCTTTTTTTTCCATAAAATTTACTTTTGCTGTAGGAAGGTAAATACGAGGACCATACACTCTGTTTTTTGTGGGTTCTCTGTTTTTTCTTTTTACAAGAGGGGAGGGCCAAGCTTGAAGCTGTTTCTTCATTAGGGTTAGAAGAACATGGAGCTCAGCTGGTCTCTCCCTGCTTATTCTTTCACTTTTGTTTGTTCTTTTACCACAGGTTGTAACTCTGTAGCAGCCAGCCAGTTTCGTTACTGAGCTTTGTGCTGTGGGTTGTATGTATTATGAGTGATTGCTCTGTTTTTGTCACTCTGCTTTTTCCACTTGTAAATTTGTACCTGTCCCTATACATACATAAATAAATGAAAAAGAAGTCTTCTGTTTTCTAATTCATGTTTCGATTGGTCGAGAAATTTGAGTTGTTGGTAGGAGGTTCAAATATCGGTATTATATTATTTATTGACACATTTCTCATAAATGAAAACCAATCCACAGATTTGAAGTTTGCACAAACTCTCCGTAATTTTTTCTTAATGGAGATGATTAGTTCACGAGAGCTACTAATTAAAAACCCTGATAGCATATTGAAAATTGATGCATTCTAATAATTCGAACTATTGGGAATAGTAAAAAACTCTGCTCCTAGTTATAAACTCCATCGGTACTTAGTTTATTTTCGTCGTGTGATTATGTTTGAATCATTTCTATTATGTCTTCCCTGTAGCCGCGTACAAAAACATCACACTCAAAATCTTTCTTTAAGAATACTCATCACGTGGTGCTTTTAAACTTGAACAGTACGTCTTTTCTACCTGATTAGGCAGCTCAACCGTCAAGTTAAATAAACCGACGAATAAAAGTACAAAGCGTTATTGTTTTTATCCACGTAGCTGGCTCAGCTTTGCTTGTACTCTAGTTATGATTATGAATGAATCCACACTCTCACTAAACAAAGGAAAAGAAACCACACAAACAACCTAAACAATTGTACATCATGTATATGCATGTATTACTTTATGTAATTAACGACAATCAGTGATAGAGATCATGGGATGGATTATATATAATCCTCTGTTCTTTAATCAATCATGGTGGCAGCCGAACTCATATTGGTCCATTATATTTCTCTACCTACAAATAAACTAGTACTAGTATCGCTATCCAAAAGGCTTCTCCAATCTTCGGCTATAGCAAGGATAAGAAAGTTCCTTTCTCCATTGCATTTTTTTATACAGAGAAGAAGAACACAAAGGTCCTACGTGAAAAAGCAGCAAGCACCCATTTCTGTTCTTAAACAAAGGGGTCGATTTCGGCTGATAACTACCAGAATTTGGTGAAATGGACGCTGGTGGGGGTTGGATTTTTGCCCATTTCCTTCCCTTCCCGATATGCATAGGTCACCGGTGTATTATTATAGTGTCTTGAAAATTGTTTGATGGGCGCTGGCGGTCTGTTACTGGCCGGGTGATGACCCAGACAGGGTTCTAAAAAAAGATTCATGTCTCTGCCAATCACAGAAACAAACAAACAACCACAACGGGAAATCTGACCACTCCAACACACTCCCCCCCTGTTCACTCTTTCCACGTGTCCCCAGATATTTCTGATGTTTTTCTCATAGAAAATTTGGGTGTAAAGAACCACAACCTTTTGGTCGAGGCATGTTCGTCGCTCGTTGGGTTTAGTTCTGCGAGGTTAATCGGAGTTTCAAGCAGTTTGAGATGCTATGTTCTTGATGGATTTGGTTGATCAGCTCAGATTGTGTGGAGTGGTTGTTGGAAGATATTCTAATGTGATTATTCGCCAGTTTCTGCAAGGATTGTTGACGAATGCGGTAGGTGGTCACGTTCCCTATGCTGACCTATCCACTGATTGTCCGGTAGGTGGTCACGTTCCCTATGCTGACCTATCCACTGATTGTCCAAAATCTGGATAAATTTGATTCATATCATAACCTCAATTAATGGGCTGAGTTGGGTAAATCTTACTTAGGGATGGCTAATTGTCGTGGGAGACCGAAACGAGTATTGTGAGGTTAGGTTGAATTGGGTAAACCTTCTGTTATATACGTATCTTTACATGCCTTATTAAATAATCATCAACTTATGAATTACAAGTATATGCAAATGTATCATACGATCGAATTAACTAATATTGAGATTGTCAAGATTTGATCATCAACTTATTAATGGGATTGTTGCAGTCGAGATACGATAGTTCGATACCTATACTACAACAAAGATTCTTACTAGTGATTGCTCTGTTTTTTCTAGTTCTTTTTTGCTCTGTTTCCAGATTTCACTCTGTTTTGGCTAGTTCTTCATTTCCAAAACTCAATAATACTGTTCCGGAAAACGCGATCGCGTCCCACGTGCGTGAAAGTCTGTTGTTTGGTCAAATTTTCCGGTTGTCACAGTCAATATATTCAATCCATTATTGTTTGTTAGCTGCATACATACCCAACCATATAAAGAATGCCTAGAAACTTGCTCACAGTTGGTTAATGGTGATGAAGGGGATGGGCTCGCGGTTTCAGGTTCTTGAGCCACACATTGGGTCTCTTCTTTTGTCTTCGTGATGTTTGTATGGAGGATCTTATGAGGTAAAGCTTTACTGAACGGGTGATTATCAAGAATGTCTATTGACCTAGAGGGTGATAGTGATTAGTGACCATCGTTTGTGCAAAATCAAAAACTTATTTCATTCATTTAATAAAAAAACGTGGAACTAGTAGGTTTTTCAATTTTCATGATAATAAATTTACGTTTGTCCTTCCTTTCCTCACGGTACTACTTTATTATCGGTTAACCTGAAGTATTTAGCCTTATAAGAAGATCTTTACTGATCAACATGGGATTCCACGTGCCCCTTGCTACTTATGTCAGAGTGTAAGCTAGTGATGTTTACAGCTACTGTACTTTCGCTATCTAAATCATTTCATAACTAACATATAACCTGTTGTTGATCATCACTCGCACTTAACACTATAAATGATTGTCGAGGAACTTGGAGCGGTTGAGAAGTAATGTAGAAGCAGCTTATAGCCGCAGCAGTGTTGACAGGTACATCTAATGACTTGGATCTTCATCAAAGTGCTATGGTATAGATTATAAACTCTAGTGGTAATAGGGAAAACATATCCCATAGAAACAGAGCCAAATGTCAACTACAAGCAACTGATTGCTCACCAGGAAAGAAACAATGTAAACAAAAAGCACCAAAGAGAACAGCAAAAGTGGCATTCCATTATTGTGATTAAAGAGAGGAGGAAATAAAAAGTGAAGACTCCATTAGAGTGGGAACATAGAGATAGCAGGCAGGCAGGGAAGTTTTTGTTTTGTCACTTGTCAGGAACAGGGATAACTAACAGCAGAATCATGTGCCTCTAAAGCTAATCACAACCGGTTTCTTTGGAACGAGATTTCAGGGATGTGAAACACAAATATATATATATATAATTGAGACACTCATCATCAGTCATCAGTAGTATATTCGCATCAATAAGTGTGGGCTTGAGTGGATGTGGCTTTGAAGACTATTATCATCAATTATATATATATATTCGATCTCTTGTTTGGAGACAATTGTACCGAAATGTGTTAGCTAGGGTAGTTATGTTGTTATTCTTAGGTAGGATAATGACAATGAGACTTAAGTCGGATGGATATTTTAGCATCTATGTTCGTCTTATGTTGGATTTGATATTTTAATTCTTAACAAGTGTCAGATAGATCCACATGATTATACCGCACAAAAGAATCAAAACACAGGTCAAATCAATTATTTTGTTCAAGAATCAAAACACATATTTGTTATATAAAATAGAGAATATGAGATAATTAGTGAAATTAAATGGTTTGAGAGATTGGGAGTGAAGACTCATGTATAAGATTTGGAAGTATGAAACGTCGTGAAATAAAATTAAGTAATTTGAAAAAAAGTTGCGTAGAAGTTAGACACAATTGGTCTTAGGTAGGCCGGGTGAGGGAAGGAAGAAGAGGGCCCATGCTCGCCCTGCCCAGAAAACCAGTCCAAGCAGATCGGGTAGCAGTAGATAAGATTAGGTTGAAATTACCATTCTTTTTCATTAATCATGTCTTGTGAGCAAACACAATTAAGATCGCTTAGTTTTACTCTTTTTTGGATGTATGCACTCTCTTTTATTGTTTGCCGCACAATCTCGATTTTTACAACTCGCATATAATTAGTCTTCTCGATACCCCTTAGTGAAGACCCATTTAATGTTCATGGCAAGCTCAACACAAGTTCAATCTCCATAGCATCTCTCGACATGTTTGATATTTACCAAATAATGCCTCTATCACGAACCCAACCATTGACAAGAGCACATGGTTCCACATGCCTGCTGAAGAACAGTCCCCTCAACCACTCGCTTAGGCCTCACTCAATCCCTCAATGTTGTTCTGAGGGCTCCATAACTCCATGGAAACGAAGTGCAATGCATTATGCATAGCTATATCTCTATATGGCAGCTTTCACTGTTCCCATAATTAGCAATTCGTTTCATTTCTAGCTTGCCATTGCCCACATCGTGGATCGACACCTCTCTTTATCTCTTCTGCAATATGCCATCCATCACAAGTTAGGGAGCCCCAATTGCCAATTGGCCTGTCTGTCTTCTTCTCTCTGTCTCTCGATGGATGGAGTATTATTGCTAGCACTGAAACAGGGAAATGGGCGTCCCTGCTTCATCCACTTTGCCTTACTTGCTACCTTTTCAACGCCTTGTCATAAGGTTCAATTCATCAGCAAGCCCAGTGGGTAATGGATATAAATTATATATTGACAAGAATTTTGTCTTTTTACTTGTAAGTTTGACTACATTGCACCAATCGTGGTTCTTCGGACACTTATTAATACTAAACGAAAATTACATCGATAAAGTAGATCTACAATCCGCCATCTTATATATTGAGACCTCCTAAACTCAACAAGTAATTAAGATTTATCATCACATTCTAGTTTGTTCACATGTTTCATGTACATACATACATACGAGGATATATATAGCTAGAACAACAAATTATACTAGTTTTGTTAAGTCTACTCCAATAGTCTTAATCACAACAAACTATATGATGAATTAAACTGACGATATTAAGAAGAGACAACAAATTTTTTTATTTTGCATTTTTCCAACTCCTATATTTTTTCTTTCATTGGATATGATATTTAAAGAAAATGAAACATTAGGTCAGTAAGTAAGCATGACCGTAGATACTCACTGATCCAGCTCAGTTTGACCCAAACCTATAGGTCGGGCTGGATCAGTTTAGGGCTAAATCATTTTTTGGTTATGCAAGAGCAAGATAGGATTGGAACAACTTAAGATCGTATCATGTTTAGCCCTATCTACAAGGTCAAGGAGAAAATAGGGGTAAAACGAACCAATTTTATAAATTGACGCTAAAAAACGGGTAAATCGTGATTTTTACAAGATCATCAGCTGCGGGTCTTACCCCATTTCAGCCTTGAAGCATGTATGTCTAGTCTGCATGCATCATTATCACAAAAGACTAATGAAGTAATTGACTTCTCCCGATACCTTAGTGATGACTGATGTGGCTTGGACTTGGCATATGAACAACTTGCAGATTTTATAATAAGGTAGTCAACTTAGCAAAAGATCGATCGAGCACAAGAGACAACACTTGCATTCCCAATTGACTTCCCATCCCTAGCTTAGCTATATCATATGCTTCTAGTCCGCAACTTGCTTCTCCTTAATAATTTGCATGCATGACCGATCAATGTCGTGCTATCCCCACTTCTGGTCTGCCAACTTATCTCCAACAATTTAGGATATATGTATATTTTTCCTCGTTGGTAATAATAACGGCTGTGGGGATAAATATTATCCATGTTCAACGTGGGATATTATCCAAGTATTGAGGATAATGTACATATTTACCCATTGCTATAATATCTCTTGAATTCTCTTTCATTTGAGATTCGTGTCCATCTTTGGATCTCGATCTTTCAATGATTCAAATTATTGTGATAAATTTGTTTATAGGTAGTGATTGAGAAATAATAACGACATATGCAAAAATTCATTAATAGCTCGCTAAGTAGTTACCTATATGAATAAAGACATGATCTAATGGTCTTATCACTGATTTTGAACCTGTAAGTATTAAATTCGAATCTATTAAATAGTACATAACAATAAAAACACATATATCATACTTATTAAAAAAAAGGGTTAATACCTTAATTTGGCCCGAACTATAGACAAACTTTCTACTTTGGCCCGTGGTATCGGAAATTGCTATCCTGACCTAAACTATGTAGCATATTTTCTTATTTGGCCAGGAGGCGGGTTTGACCGTTAGTCAAGGTCCACCTCACTTGCCATGTCAGCTGTCAGGGAATAAAAAATTAATTTTTTAATTTTGATTTTTTTTGAATTTTGTATACTTTCTAACAATAAAAATAATATATTAAAAAAATTAATTAAAAGAGCTCTCCAAATTATTTTTAATTAATTTTAGAAACTAAACAAAATTAAAAATTCAGAAAAATTAATTTTTTATTTCCCGATAGCTGACGTGGCAAGTGATGTGGACTATGACTAACGGTAAACTCGGTTGACCGTCTAATTTGACGGTCAAACCCACCTCCGGGCCAAATAAGAAAGTATGTTACATAGTTTAGGCCAGAATAGCAATTTCCGATACCACGGACCAAAGTAAAAAGTTTGTCTATAGTTCGGGCCAAACTAAGGTATTAACCTGTTGGGTCTAGTATTAACCCGCCTAATACGGGCCCAAGCCCACCATAAAGCGTCTCACATTGGGCCCAAGCCCATTCTAGGGTCCGTTACACCGGGAGGCGTCCAGTCCAGCAGGGGGGCGTCCATTACCGGGAGGCGTCCAGCCTACCCGGGGGCGTCCACCACCGGGAGGCGTCCATTCACCGGAAGGCGTCCATCGACGGGAGGCGTCCAGTCTACCGGGGGCATCCATGACAACGGGAGGCGTCCATAGGATGCCTCCGGCTCCTATATAAGGAGGCCAGACCCTCCAAGCAAAGAGACTTCTCTCCCTTCCCTCATTTTACCACTTATGGTTCTCTCTCTAAACCCTATCTCTCTCTACATTCTCTACACTCTATCATATATCCTATTCTAACTTGGGCGTCGGAGTGTAGATACCGGGGGCCGCCCCCGACTCTCCACAGGTTTCTTCCACCCCCAAGGAGATCAGATGATCGAGTCCGGATCAAGGTTCCACACAAATCCCCGGTACTAATCCGGGTCAAACATAACCAAAAAAACTAGGTAGATATATATCTGCATATGTGTTTTATGATCAAATGATATCGGTACACACCACAACGTGTTCTATTGGATGTCACAATTACCATGGCCCGTGGGAGTTGGATTTTGATTAGTTCAGGCCCAAGTTAGTTGTGGGCTTTTATCTTTATTTGGGGCGGTCGCTAAACTCATTAAACGTGAAGTGAACTGTGGCATTCATAAAAAGCGAGAGAAGAAAGAAACACGAAACGTTTCCATCTGCAATTCTGATGCTTTCTTTCTCGCAGAGAACCCCGCCATGGATGATAATCCTTCTGTTCGGCGCCATGATTGCCATAATTATCCTCGTCTTCATCTCCGTTTGCTTCATCACCATCGAAGGCACTCGCCGCCGTCGCAGCAGCAGCTAAACCTAACTCCGACACACTTATTCACTCACTAGTCACTCCATTCAGTCAGCGCCGTTTCTTGGTACATTCCCCCAATTTCGTTATTCAGATCCCTCCATCTGCCTTTTCTTTTCTGGTATTGAATTGAATTCACCTGAAACATACCAGTAAACCATGTCAGGGGTTTTTATCTTCTACTTATATAAGGAGTAGTGAATACCAAAAAAAAAAAAAACCCCCATCAGCCGCCCTGTGGTTTCTCTTCCCCGACTGTGCGCAGTTCGAGTGAGCAAAAACAATGGGGCGGAGATCGCCGCATCTTGCATTAATCGTGGTGGCTATGGTCGCTGCTGGGTTTTGCGCAGATCTGTGTTTCGGTGATGGACTCTGTACCTCACCGATGCTTGATCATTCCGACGACCATTACCACCATAATCATCACCATCACCACGACGACGGCGACCAATGTGGCGGCCACCACCACCACCACCATCATCATGACCATGGCCATGGTGAGTCAATGGAGTATAAGTTACCGGAGGAGCTGGCGGAGGAGGATATGAAACTCTATGGCTTTGGGAATTACCATGCTCATGATGAACATGATCACCATCACGATTCGCATTCCAAGCTTTCTGGCATAGGTATTATCTTTGTCCAATTCCCGAATCTGTGTGAGTGCAAGAAATCCCTCAGTCATTGCCGCCATTTCTTTTCCTTTTCATATGACTGGGGTTCATAGGCTTAGCATAGTTGTTATCTGAAGAAGTTGTCTTTCTGATCTCCAATGTGTTCCCTTTAATGCAAGAAGTTTATGCATTCTAATTTGTTTCTCATTCTACCATTGGATGCATCGTGACACCTTTCTGTTATTTGCCCAGTCTACAAAGTCGAGTTCTTTAGCAGTCCAATTATGCATAAGTTCCCTCCTTTCGAATTGTGGGACTGGCTTTTCATCTTTTATAACTCTGTTTCTTGTCTTTCCTCTTCTCTTATCAGGTCTATGGATCAATGCGTTGGGCTGTTCACTTTTGGTGAGCTTGGCTTCCCTTATTTGCCTGATCATCTTGCCAATCATATTTGGTAAGCGGTTCTGTTCTTGTTGATAATACATTTTAAGTTACCGGTTAGCAGTTTTTCGATGTTGGCATTGGTTGCTTGCAGATTTTTCACTGCATACTCATGGATAAGTATCTATGTATAGCGCCAATGCTGTTGTATTTCAATTGCGACTCTTAGATTTATCTGTTGTCTGATTGCAGTACAAGGAAAGCCATCCAAGGGAGTTGTTGATTCATTGGCTTTATTTGGGGTCAGATTCTTGTATCACTATCGCTTGTTTGTTTTCATTTACTGTGGATACCTTATCGTGGTTGCCTAAACTTTTAACTGCATTTTCTTTGGTGTTATTTTTGTTGTTCTTTCTCATCCATATCACAACTTTTTTTCTCTCAAAATGTTTTAAGATTCTTTTGTTCGTAATAGAAGAGAAGTAGGCAACTACAGGATAATGACATGACCAATTTGTAAATTTTCTAGTATTGAACGTTAACAAAATACTAATACAATGTCTTCTAGGAGTCATGTTTTTCTGTTCTGAATTTTCATACAATTTTCTGCTTCCAGGCCGGAGCCATGCTTGGTGATGCTTTTCTTCACCAATTGCCACATGCCTTTGGTATGTTCCCTTGCCATTGTTTACATTATGATGCTTCCATGTAGCTAGTTTGCTTTTGCAATGCCATGATATTATCTTCAACTTGAATTCCTTTTGAGAATTTGGTACAACTTTCCCAGACATAATGATACAAACTGGATATATCCATCTCGTAGTTATCAAATGCTCACTTGGTTATGTCTTGGTATTATTTGACTGAGCTTCTGATTGAGGTTACTTGTTTTGTAATTCTATGTATCCTTCTTTCATACCAATGGCAAGTGTCGTCAGATATGCTGACTTTATGGCTTCTGTTTAAAGTTCAATAAGTAATTACCCTTCCATTCACGTTGGCTGTTGCTGAATCTCCTTAAGACCTGGTGGTTATAATCCACCTTTTAAGAATGATGCAACTATGGGAAAAAACATCATAATATCATTCATGCTATCCATACAATCTCTGACTATAAATAATGTCTTGCACTCGACATGCAATATGGGATGGAGAAGTTCACATCACATGCATAGTGTTGGACACTTTTTTAATTAAGCTTGCAGTTTTAACCATCTTGAACTTAATTTGGAGAAAAGAAGAAGCTCATCACTATGACTTATGGATGTTTATGAGATTTTTTTGCCTATTGAGTAATCCATCAAAGAATCATGTGCAGGTGGACAGCAACACTCGCACTCCCATTCACACCACCATGCTGACGATTTGAGCCATGATCATTCGGGGCACGAGCATTTGCATTTGCCTTCAAGTGGGCATTCACATTCTTTGGAGGATCTTTCTGTTGGATTATCCATTTTAGGTAAGCAACAAACTGTTCAATGCTAAATATCATGCACAATACCGTAACACATTTTTCACTGGTTAATGTGCATTGGCTCAAAATTATCTTTTGTATTACCATGAATGCAGAGGATCATGCTATTCTTAAAACTGGCTTATAACTTTTGAGTTTACGGTTTTGAAATCACTTGAGAGCGTGGACTTGTGAAATTGTGAAGGTAGGCATACGTTTAAGAAAAATAAGTTCAAGATATGAGATTAAAAAGAAGAACTTTATATGCTTCAGTAGCTTAAGTATATCAATATATTCATTCATGATAAACTGAAAAGATACAATGTCAAGATTTATGTCTGTCTCACTTTCTCTTCTTTCAGCCTCTATGTTTGTTTTGTTTTTTCCCGCCATTTTCTTCATCTTTGTCCTGTGCTGCGTGTGAAATATTTCTTAATGGTGAAAATTTACTTCACTTTCTGCTTTTCCTCTTCTGGTTTTGTTGTTGTAGCGGGCATTGTAGTCTTTCTTCTTGTTGAGAAGCTTGTGAGATATGTTGAAGATAACTCTACTGGTGATGTTTGGGGTCATAGTCATCACCACCACCATAAGAGCAGTGAGAAACTGAAGGATGGCAATGATGTTGATGGATCATCTGATGAAATTTCAGATAACATGTCAAATGGGGATAAGTTGAGTCAAAAGGACTCCGTTGTTCAGAGGGTAAGTAAAAGAACTGGCATTTTGAAAATCTTTATTTTCCTTCTTTGCTTTCTCCAGATTTATTATTAGTACTTAAGACCGTGGTACCGTATTTATTATTAATGCAGAGAAAAGGTAAGGCTGGTTCCAAGGGTGAGAAATCAGATAAAGCCACCTCGAACAAATCTACTACGTCTACTAAACTCTCACAGGGAAAGGAACCTGCAAAGTCATCTTCAAATCTGGTGTTCGGATATCTGAATCTCTTCTCTGATGGTGTTGTAAGTATGTGCTCTTCGCTGATTGGTTGAGCTTAGCGTGTTTTAACATGTGTTTCTACATTTAACAAAAGAAAATGTAAATGTTCTGAGGATAGAAGTTGATTAATAAAAAGAATGTGTTTTCTTTGAGTGTAAAGCAAAGAAACTATATAATTATCTGCCCTCTGAACCTAATATGCTGTGTTGACTTTGCACTTGCAGCATAATTTTACTGATGGAATGGCCCTGGGTAACGCCTTTCTGCTTTATGGATCAGTGGGAGGATGGTCTAGGACTCTCTTTTTGCTTGCACATGAGCTCCCTCAAGAGGTTTGACTCAACTCTCAGTCGCAGTACAGAGAATATTGCTTTTCGAAGTTGTAGTTCGGTGAAAACTTCTACTTGGCTGTTTTCGACTTAATAATAGTTATTCATCTAATGTGGTCCATCATAAGAAAAAGAAGAATGACCTAGTTCTCTCTGTGTTTTTAGCAAAAGCAAGTAATTCCCTTGATCATTGCAGAGTCGGAAATTGTAGTCAAGTTTGATTGATGTATGCAGGTGGGTGACTTTGGAATCTTGGTAAGATCAGGTTTTAGCGTATCTAAAGCTCTTTTCTTCAACTTCCTATCAGCATTGCTCGCTCTCGTTGGAACTGCACTGGTGAGTTCCTTAACTCCGACAATTTACGGTCCACGCATTGATGCCAATGAAAATCAAACATCCTGATTTTTTTCCCCACCAGGCTTTACTTTGGGGAAAAGATCCCGGACAATCTTCTTCGATCGAGGTACGCTTCAACATATGATCATATTTGCTTCTATCACATTCCTGCTATGTCGCCTGCTTCATCCCACCTTTATTTTCCTTCCAAACAGGGCTTCACGGCAGGAGGGTTCATATACATTTCCGCGGCAGGAGTGCTCGCTGAAATGAACAATGGCAGAACCAGTTTGAAGAGCACGGTGGTTCACACAGTGTCCCTGGTACTGGGAATGTCTGTCGCCCTTTGTATTTCGCTTGTAGAATGAAGAAATAGCCTTGCCTGTTAGATTGCCAGTTGTAGTCTCACTTTTTGTAGATTGAGGAGCTTTCTTGCGTTTCTTTCCCGCCTTTGAGCTCTTCAGCTGGAGTGGACTGTTTTGCGACTTTCTATAGCATGCGCGGCTTGTTTTTACCCTCCCTTCTTTAGTACAAGCTCAAGGTGATTGGCTATACTAGTTCAGCTAAATTCGTGTTTTGCAGATAGTGCAACCGAACCCTCAAACGAGACGTGATCATTCCGCTGGGCTTGCATCCCTCAAAACCACGTTCGAGGAAACCGTACCGGAAAAGTCAGCGGTAGAGTATTTTATGACAAAATCGTGATTTAACCGTAGTTCAACCATTGGTACTGTTGGGCATGTGACTCGGACCTAGCTGTGCAAGGCAGGACGCGCCGACAGAAGGCGCGCACGAGGGTCCAAGGCGCGCATGAAGGCCTAAGGGCGCGCCACTATGCGTGCGCGAGTGGAGAGAACCAACGCGCGAGGATCCAGAGCCCCTCACGAGCTGCGCGAGAGTGAAGTATCAAGGCGCGGAGGCTCAGGCGCGTCGTAAGCCTCGAAGCCATAAGGAGCTCACTTCACACTTCCCGAGGGTCGGCCGCATAGGGATCAGTGACACAGTCGTAGGTACACCCCTGACATGTCCTAGGTAGGGGGATGGCCGGAATCCCCAACGTGTCAGTGGTCACATCAGAGCCTAGGTCCCATCATGTAATCCAACCACTCACCCACCACCATGTAGCCTATAAATATGGCATTTACTCCGGTGGGTGAGAGGATGGCATTTTTCACCACTCTCTCTCTACAATAACAACTTATCTCTCTAATATCCCTTCTCTGGTTCTCTCACAACTCTCTAGTCTGTGACTTCTCGATCAAACCCGTTACTTGCACTTCTTCTTGACCCCAACCCTTACTCGAATCTAACTCCTACACCCAGTTAGGTTCAAACAGGTACCGTTAAATATTATATATCGGTTTAGCCTTCAATACGGATATTTTGTGATTGAACAACCGGTACGGTACGGTTTCAACTTTCATGGATCATGCTCAAAACTTAAAGAACCATACTATAAAATTTAACGACAATAACTCTGAAGTGAGATATCAAAAGAGTTTTACGTGTTACTTTATGATAGGTCAATTAGTGACATAAGTGATCGTCCGAGAAATCTACACTGGTGAAAAATGAGGAGGCCAACTTAATATTATATAGGTTCACTGCTAAAGATTTTATAGGCACTTTATTTAGATGTATACATTGTGTATGGGGAAGAAACTAGAGTGGCATTCGAGTTAGAATTTGATCAGAAATGAATTAAATGAGAATTCTGAATTTTCCATAAGATAATCAAAAGTGTGAATATTATCATTACTTTGGATGAGACTGCATGTAATCTGAACTAGTGAACTATGTGTGCCAAAAATCTAAGGGGAGTTGATGGAAGGTGGCTATAATAACTTTGGTGATAAATCTGTTAAAAGAAATATAAGTTTGGTGAGTAATTTGTTGATCCCCAAAGTTTAGTGATCATTTGTTAATAGATCGAAAAAGGAAGAGTCAAAATCGTTATTATATCCATCTTGCTTCGAACCCTACTCGCGAATTTGGTGATTTTGTTTTGTACTCCTACAGTCCTACTCCGGGGGTTTATCTAGGGTTTTCGCCTCTGGATATTTGACGTCCGTCGCTCTACGTTAATCGGAGAACTCACCGGAACAGCAGCCATGGCGGACGAAATGGGCAAGGTCGAAACAGAGGTAAACGAAGCGAACAATCAGAAGAAGAAGCACAAGGGAAAGCACGACAAACCGAAGCCAGGTCATAGCCGACATGCAGAAGCAAATGAGCCAGGTCATTGCGCTCATGATGAGCAGGGAAGCCGCGCCAACAGCAGAGGCAACGGCGGTCGCGCCTCAACAAGCCGTGGGAGAAGCGTCCGGAACCGCCCAACCGCCACGACACGCGCCAGCGGAATTCCCTGCGGGAGAAACGCAGGGAGTTGAACTACCAGGGCGGGCGGACCTCAGCTTCTTGGAGCAACACCTGTCTCCGCAATATCGACCTAACCCGCCCAAGAAGGTTCTCCACCAGCCGTTGAGCGCACAAATTATGGCGGAGCACCTAAGTGGAGCGCCACCCATCCTCCCAACGTACAACGGCACGACCGACCCAGAAGACCACGTGAGCACCTTCTGCTTGCGCATGCAACTCCAAACGAACTCGAATGCGGCGCTGTGCAGAACCTTCCCGTCAACCTTTTCGGGAATATGCCTCGACTGGTACAACCGCCTCCCGAATGGAATCATCCGCTCGTTCGAAGAGTTCATACTTCTGTTCACAACAAAGTTCGCGTCCCAGAAGCGGCGCCCCCTCCACCTCAAGGCCCTGATAGATGTCAGGCAAAAAGACGGAGAAAGCTTGAGAGCCTTCTACGCCAGATGGTCCAGGGTAGCAATGGCCGTCCGCGACCTTACCCCCGAAACCGCCGCCCATCACCTCATGGAGGCCACCAACAACATGGAGCTCAAGCGGGCGCTAGCAAAGAGGCCCGTCACGCTGTCAACAGAGTTGGAAATGAAGATCGAAAAGGCAATCACGTTAGAAGAGACCCTGGGGGCGGGATCCGTCAGGCGCTTCGAGCTAGCAAAAACGCCGCGAGAGGAAGTGGCGCGCCGACAACCTCCAACCTCAATCCCGCGAGATCAATTGCTACAGATGCACAGTGGCCCGAAGCGCAACCCTCCCCCCCCACCAGAGCAGGCGCATCGCGGGCGATCGCCAGACAGGCGCATCGCGGGCGATCGCCAGACAGGCGCCCGTCCAACGCCTACACTCCCCTTAACGACTCCGTGAGGAACGTGTTCCACGTCCTCCGTGAGAAAGGCTACAAGCTCAATTGGCCTGCTCCCTTGAGGTCCCTACCCCACATGCGCGATCCAAAGAAGCATTGTGACTTTCACAGGGCAACGGGGCACCAGACGGAAGAATGTCGAGAGCTACGGTACGAGATAGAGGGCCTCATACGACGGGGCTTACTAACCGAGTTCACTCACGTGAAGAAGGAGCAGGTTGAGGCCCCGCAGCACCCGCCCCCACCCCCACAAGCCGATTACGACGACGACACGGGCGCGTATGTAGTGCGCAAAGAGATCGGGGTGGTAACAGTTGAAGGAGACCGGCCCAAGAAAAAAACCAAGCGCGAGCGCGCAACGGAGTGCGCGGCTGTCGACGCACCGACGAAGTTCAATCTGAGCTTTGATGACGCGGAGTTTCCACAAGGAGTCCCGTCAGAAGAGCCGCTCATCGTGACCGCGCTGATTGCCGGCTGCAAGACCCACCGTCTCCTGATAGATGGGGGTAGTGCGGCTGACATCCTCTTCCAGAGCACCATTAACAAAATGGACATCGACCCGCGCCTAATCAGGCGCGTGCAAGGCAACCTGGTCGGGTTCTCCGGCACCAGAGTCCCGGTGATTGGGGTGGTCACCCTCCCAGTGGTAATCGGCGACCAGGAACCGCGCGTCTCCAAGCAAGTGGAATTCACAATCGTCAATTGTGAATCGGCGCACAACGGCATCTTAGGCCGACCTTTCCTTGCGAAGTTCATGGCCCTCCCGTCGACGTGCCACCAGAAGCTTAAATTCCCAACACAGAGAGGGGTGGGGGAAGCACGAGGAACGACATGGGAAGACCGCGTTGTGGCGCGTCAAACCAACATAGTCGACACAAGAGCCGAAGAACCCCGACCAGAGTCCATGGACTCCGATTTCGAGGTCGCGCTGGACTCCGCCGAGCCAACTAGGAAGATACGCATCTCCACTCACGTTGTCGGCGACGCGATCGAACCACTCGTGACGTTGCTGAAAGAGTACAAGGAGCTTTTCGCGTGGTGCACAGAGGACATGCCAGGGGTGCCCAGAGAGGTAGCTCAGCACAGCCTCGCAGTCCCAGCCAACGCGGAGCCAAGACAACAAGGGCGGAGGGTCTTCACCGGCGATAAGCTGAAGGCGATAGAAGAAGAGGTGGCGCGCCTCCTAGCTGCCGGATTGATCCGCCCCGTGAAGTATCCAAAGTGGCTGGCAAACGTGGTCCTGGTCAAAAAATCGTCAGGAGCTTGGCGGATGTGCGTCGACTACACCACGATCAACAAAGTATGCCCGGGAGACCCTTATCCCTTGCCGCGCATCGACCAGCTGATCGACGCCACTGCCGACCATGAGACATTGTCTTTCCTAGACATGTTCTCAGGATACCACCAAATCCCGATGTCCGTGGAAGACGAAGAAAAAACGGCGTTCATGACACCGTTCGGGAACTTTTGCTTCGTAGGGATGCCGTTCGGATTGAAGAATGCGGGCGCGACATACCAGAGAATGATTGACACTGTTTTCTCGCGACAGATCGGGCGAAACATCGAGGCGTATGTGGACGACCTCATCGTCAAAACGAAGGCGGGGAAGTCACACCTGGAGGACCTGCGCGAGACTTTCGAAGCCCTCCGCAAGCACAGCCTCCGCCTCAACCCACTCAAGTGTGTTTTTGGAGCGGAAGCGGGAAAATTTCTCGGGTTCATGATAACCAGGCGCGGCATAGAGGTCGACCCGAAGCAAATCACCGCGGTCCAACAACTACGGGCGCCTCGGAACGCGTTAGAAATCCAATCTCTGAATGGCAAGATAGCGGCACTGGGGAGATTCATACCAAGGTCCGCCGACAAATGTGCGCCCTTCTTTCAGACACTCAAGAACGGGACCCGCTTCACATGGTCGACAGAGTGCGAAGCAGCATTCCAAGAACTAAAGGCGTATCTTGTATCCCCCCCTGTACTGACGGCCCCCAAACTTAATGAAAAACTTTTCTTGTATCTCGCTGTGTCAACCAGGGCCGTGAGTGCAGTGCTAATATCTCGAAGAGATGGCAAAACCGAGCAACCAGTGTATTACACCTCGCGCACTCTCATCAGCGCGGAAACAAGATATTCCTCGATTGAGAAGGCCGCCTTGGCACTAGTTAGCGCCTCACAGAAGCTACGCCCGTACTTCCAGGCGCACCAAATCACCGTCCTGACAAACCTCCCACTAAAAAAGATTCTGACTTCGATGGAGGTGTCGGGCCGCATGGTCAAGTGGGCGGTTGAGCTGTCAGAATACGACATTCAATACGCGCCAAGGCCAGCAATAAAAGCTCAGATCTTAGCGGACTTCATCGCCGAAGGGGTAACCCTCGAAACAACGCCGG